GAGAACACCTCCAGGTGTCTTACTCCGATTTCATTCGTTTATATATTATTCGATAGAGGACTTCGAGTAGATAAAACAAAGCCATCGGTCACAATCCTTCTAGGCTTTTTACTTACTAGGGGTCCTCTATCAAATGACATATAAATGAACGAAATGGAAGCGAGACACCTGGGAATGTTCTCTTGTAAGACATTTAACTCCTTGGAGACCGAGTCCGTATATATTCGATTTCGAAATTCAACTAAGGGAAGAAATCCTTAGATACACTAAAATTGGAATTTTTAGTATAGATTTTATTCCAATATACATGTTACGTTATGAAATAATCCAGGTATAGTCGTACATATTTAGCTCAATGTATTTCGTTATCGTTCATTGCAACATTTCCCTTATAGATCCAACACGAGAAAGAAACTTTGTAATAGATTATTGTTTAAAATTTATAGTATTCCAAAATCTACAATAGGTCGTCCTGCATTGACTTATCAACCAACTAGACTTATTAAGAGAACTAATTCACACTATATGTGTAAAGATTGTGATGTAGGTTGTTTCGACAACTTCTTGTAATAAATTTCAACTATAATTGATTTTGTAAGTGCAAAATCCAATTTTTTTCTATACAAAAACAAAAGCGTCAGTTCTCAAAGAGTTAACGATTATAGATTTTAGCTGGATTAATAATACTATGAATTTCTTTAGGATGATAATCTCGTATTGATGGTATAAATGAATCAAAGGAGAATTGTTTACTTCAATATTATTTCCATAAGTAACTTGTATAAAGAAAAAACTACATACAAGATCTTTATTATTTTCACTGTAATCAAAAATATAATTAAATGGATTAAAATTATTATTTGATAAAATTGTTCGACCAATAAGCCAATCTTTTTCAATATCAAATAATTGTGATATATTATTCTAAATTATAAAAGATAAATAAATTCAATAAAATTCTTTCTGCTTTTTTTACCGGATCTTCTGAATTAACAATAATAGACATGATTGACAATACTCTAATAGTTCAATAGACAACATCCATGACATTTTTTTTTGCGTTTTAGAGAATGGTTCTTTTATGCAACCAATGAATTCAATGCTTATACTTCATAACTAACTATTGCCATCTGTTTTATAATCCCTAATTGGTTACTATATATTTATATTTATTTCCATTTATAGAACTGTATTATTATTATTATTATTATTATTATTTCGTCACATTAATTAAAATCTACGCAATGGCGACAAAGAAAACTTCGAATGAAAATGTGAATATGGATGATTTTGAAGCACTTTTAGGTGCACTTAACGCTGAAGAACTTGAAAATATTAATGATCTTATTGATCCAGAAGTATTTGATATTCATTTAATTTGTTTTCTTTTTTTATTCTAATAATAATTTTTCTATTAAGAATGCTTATTTACCAGCAAGTGATCGTTGTAAATATAGAGTAGATAAAGAAGCAACTGGTACATATGATCGTAATAAACTTTTAAGTTTTCTAACTGAACAAGGAAAAAGTGAAAAAGATTGGGAAGAACAAAAACCACATGTACCCGGTGAAAAGAAAGGCAAAGTTTGGCAAGCACCTGAAGTTGTAAAATCACCTGCTGATGAAGATGATGAATTTTTAGCTAAAACAGAATGGGATGATGTATTAACAAATGCAAGTGAATCAGAAATTGTTGAACTTGCTGGTCTGTTCAATTTATTGATATTAAAATTTCTTTTTTTTTTTTTATATATAATTAAATTTTTTCCTTTTCAGCTATTCTTGGTTTTACTGGTTTAATTAATCAAGTACAATATCATGCTGCAGTAACAGACAAACCTGTATCAACAAGTGCTGGTGGTTGGAATGGTATGATAAGAAAAAAAACAAACAAATAAATAAATAATTTAAAATTTTTCTTTAAGCTGCCGCTAAATCTGAACCATTAAAATTACTTATACCAGAACCCGATAATACAACTAGTGTTGAAGAATGTATAGCAAAAGCTAAAGCTAATGATAAAGATTTAACTCGTATTAATTTAAATAATATTCAAGGAATAAAACCTGATGTACTTAAAGATTTACTTAATGCATTAAAAGAAAATACACATGTAGAAGTTCTTGAAATATCTAATGTTGGTATGACTGATAATGTTGGTCGAGTAAGAATTTTTATCTTAATTCGAGAATATAAAAGTTTGGAATAGATTGTTTTTTTTTTTAATAATTAGGTTCTTGCAGAACTTATTGAAGCAAATACAACGTTGAAAACAGTTAGTGCTCAATCAAATCGATTAACAGGTCCTATTATTACTGAAATCGTACGAAGTACATTGAAGAATCAAACATTGATTGAATTACGTTTATCAAATCAGGTAAAAAACAAAATGATTTATTTCGAATTTGAAAACAAAAACAAAAATCTGAAACATTTACTTCAAATTAATCAAATCAATTGGAAAACTTTGACAATAATAAATTTAATATGTCTTATTCAATTAATTAATATCAAACAGATGTCGAGAGAAATCGTGAAAGCGGATGGGGGTGTATATCCTTACTAAATAATAATAATAATCCAGTGTATAAACAAAACAAAAGCATCATGCTGGCTGACGATATAGGTTTCAATGTTCTATTTTGTTGTCATAGAATGAATGATAAATAAGTTATGTCAACGGAATTAAATGAATAGATTAGTGTATTTTAAGTAAATCGAAAACTTAAAATGATTGTTTATCCTATTTTATATTATTGAAAAAAAAGAAAATTTACTAAGAAGCAAATAGTCATGAGCAAAAATCTTCTCTGTGTTAGTGTTATATTTTATATTGACAATGCTAACAAAGAGAACTCTCATGTACTTGAATAATATATAGAACAAACGCGTTCATTTTGTTAATAAGAATATTGTTGTTAATTTCGTTTTTAAAATCAAAGAAATATTTTGAAAATGAATGAGTATTTAGACGGGTCATCGCTAACAAGCAGAAAATTAAAAGATACAAGGAAAGGACTTGTGGTATACCTTGAATATAGAAAGAACGATTTATTCTTAACTTTAATGTTCTTACGAATGGTTTGATATCATGAGTAATGAAGCATATCGTGATCTTGCATAATAGTGCCCTTAAGTTATTTCTATTTGCTTTGTAAAAGTAATAAAGAAGGAAAAAAAAGGTATGACATACAACTACATACATTCATTAGGTTCGCAACAAGTTAAAGCACCTATCATTCATTATGTCTAAATGTCAATATAGTTAAATATACAAAAGTAATTCTTAATAAGAGATATGTTAAATTGATAATATCTAATGAATTTTTAACCTATATTTGCATTATTTCAGCTAACGAATGATTTATTGATTCATTCGAAAACAATAAAAGTGTAACTATAAGTTTTGGTCCTGTACACACATACACACCTTTTTTTTATGTAGTTTACACACCTTCAATATTAGTTATGTTTCCTTTGTTTTTTTCTTATTAATAATTTTGTTTATTCTTTTTTAAGCGTTCTCAAATTCTTGGTAACCGAGTTGAAATGGAAGTTGCTGATGCCGTTGCTAAAAATAATACTCTACTTCGGTTAAATTTACAATTTGATACTCTTGGTCCAAGAGTTCGTGTTACAGAAAAACTCAAACAAAATCTTGATGCTCGTAAATCACTTTTCAATATATCAACAAAAATAAAAATAAAAGCTATTTATTTATTTTTCTATTTCTAGTACGTAAAAAACGTTTAGCAAGTAAACAAGAAACCAAAACATAATTTATTTATTTATTTTCATATATATTTTATTCATATATATACATATACTTCCGCGTATTTGCAATCTCATCCTTGCTCAAAAGAAAGACATCTACATGGTGCTGATTTTCAATTTGCATAATCACACTAACCAAGATAATCAACTTTCTAGTCACCACCGTCAACGAAAAATAAATCTGCTTATTTCCTGCTTTTCTCGCTTCAGGATTATTAATGATCTGTTTTTTTTTGTATATATATATTTTACTTAATTAACCTATTTTTATGATCTATTTATTTATTCAAATAAAGATAGTCGCTAGTCCCTTTTTTTAATTATTTTAGATGTTTCAATCACATGATCATCATGTTAAAGATAATGTTTGTTTAACTCGTTCACCATATCGTAATGGTAAAAAATTACGTGCTGTAAAAGTTTATACAATAGCTCAAGAATCAAAATATCTTCTTATACAAAATATTCCATCAATAGCTGGTGTTGTTGAACAATTACTACCATATTTTAATCAATATGGAAATATTGAACAATATTGGAGATTAGATGGATATATACGAAAAGATTCAACACAAGATGATGAATTTTTTGATACTATCTTAATTAAATTTATACAAATACAACAAGCACGTAATGCTAAATGTCATCTTGATGATATGAATTTTATGGGATCAATTTTACACATATGTTATGCACCTGAATGTGAAAGTCTAGATGATTTAAGAGAAAAATTAAATGAACGAAGAACAATTGTACAACGTAAAAGTGAAATGAATAATTATGCAAAAAGAAAAAAATCAACAATGAATACTATTCGACAAAATACACCAAAAAAACAATGTAAAATTGTATATAAACAATCAACTCTTATTCCAAAAAATGATTCAATATCGTGTCCAACTAATACAATTGAATCACCTTCGTTAAAATCATTTGAAAGAACAAAGAATGAAATTCGTAGTAAAATGCGTGAAATTGTACAAAAATCAAATTTAATTCCAATTGTTTTACAACAAGATATTAAAAAGAGAAAAAGATTACAGATATAATCATGAGTTTTTGTATATTTCAATCTAACATAAGGAATTCTATATAATGTATTTCTTTTATTTGAAATACTTATTTTAATCGTCAGAAAAGAATTTCCGATGTACGAAAAGACTTAACTAATTCATTTGTTTTTTGTTGACATATTAGATTATTAATTATAAAAAATTATTTTCTAGATGAAGATCTTCATTGCATTTCTTCTTTTATTAATCTCTCCGATTGAATTACGTCGTCATAATGATGATATGTATGAATTAGATGATCTTTTAAAGACTCAATATAATTATAGACATCGCCCATATAAACAAAATTTTTATGATCAAAGTGATGATGAACGATATGATCCTTCATTATTTCAACATGAAAAATTATCTTCATCACGTAAAAAAGTTCTTGATGAAAATGATGATATTGTTAATGAAGAATCTGAAAGTAATGATGGAACAGATCGATTAAAATTAACAACAACAATAATTAATCAAAATGATTTATCTGATCAATCATTATGTATTAATAAATATGATATTAAATATGAACAATTAATTAAAGTAAAAGAATTAAAAAATGGTGCACATATGATAAGATATATTCTTATTGATAAAAGATCATTATCATCAAATATGAATATTCATGATAGTTGTATGTTTAATTGTTGTGAAGAAACAACTTGTGATTTAGCTATGCTTAGTGAGCAGCCAACTCATGTAAGTTAATTCTATTATATTTTAAATATTCGTTCTTTTTTTTCTTTCGATTCATTTAGGATGGTTATAAATGTTATTTATTTGCTTGTAATGGTAGTTGTACATTAGCATCACATCAAGATTATACAATTATGATACCTAAAAAAAATTTAGCATATTATACGAAATCACTGACAACAATTATTGATGAAAAATTAACATCAACGATTTGTAAGCTTTGTATCAACATAGATACAACCTTTAATTTGTACTAATAACTACCTAATCAGTTATCCTTGCTCTTGCTTGTATAGAAAACATATCTTTATTATTATTTGCATGGCATGTGCTTTTGTAATGATCAAATACTTTGATTTTATGAGTTTATGTATTCTAAAATTAGTCTAGACAAAGATGAATTTGAATGTCACGTGTACATTCATATTGTTCATCGTTTTCAAATTAATCATTATTGATTCTACTTAAAAGCAATACATTGATATTAAATTCCTCTATATATATATGGGGTTGCCCAGTCAGGTTGGATACCCCATTGATATTTTTTTCTATCCTAAGGACAAAACATTCTATTGTTCGGGTCATATGAGAGAGGGTCATAGATAACCCTAGATTGGCCAGAACAATACTATGTTTTATCCTTAGAATAGTAGAGAAACACTACTACCAGCGGATCTATGAGCTCGTAACTTTTCTCTACTATTGTAAGGATACAACACGGTATTGTTCGGGCCAATCTAGGGTTATCTATGACCCTCTCTCATATGACCCGAACAATAGAATGTTTTATCCTTACAATAGAAAAAAATATCAATGGGGTATCCGACCTGACTGGACAACCCCATATATATATGTATTGATTTGATAAGAAATCGATTTTAGATTGGCTAGATGCTTTTTTTTTGAAGAGTTAAATTGATATATCGAGATTAAGATTTATTCCGAGTTTATACTACTCTTTTTGTTTATGATGGTTAAATAAACAAATTGGATTTATTTTTGTTTATTTTTATTCTAGCTAATGTTACTATATTACAAAATAAATCATATTTTCGTGAAATAGCTGTTATTATATTTCTTGTTTTGGGTCTTCTATGTACAATTATTTTATTTGTTATACTCTGTTGTTATTGTCGAAAAGTACGAAAGGGTGGTCGTAGACTGAAAAATTATGCTGTTGATGCTGATTATTTAATTAATGGACTTTATCTCTAATAATAATAATAATAATAATAATAATGACAATAATCAAAAAAATAACAGTGATCTTTATAAAATTCAAATACTCATATTTTCCGTACATACATATTATTATTTTTCCTTTTGTTTTATGTGCTTTTTTCTATGAACATGGACAAAGACAAACGAATTTATATCAAACGTGTTTTTTTCTGCTTATTGTTTTTTTTTTCTTGAATCTCTCATCTTTTCTTTCTAATACTGACAAAACTAATTTGTACTAAATACTAATCTTTAATTGATGCCATTGATTTTTAGTTTATTTTTTTCTTATTCTACGTATACAATTGTAAACATGACTTTGCTACAAAATATAAACAAAAATAAAATCTTGTGAAACATGTTATTCTATTGTTTCGAACAAGATAATAATTCAAAGTATATTGTTTAAATCAATATCAGATAACTAAATGATCTGAAAAGATAAAAAGAAAAAGAAAAATATTTTGTTTATTTTGAAACGCATTTAGAACTTATTGAAATTTAACTGATCGAGCTTGGATTACTGATGAATTAGAATAAATTCAATAATACACATTGAAGCAGAACTGAGATTTTTCTTGTAAAATTTCGTCAGAAGAAGTTGAACATAACATTTTAAAACTTTATTATTGATGTTTACACTATATATTGTAGATGAGCCGTCGGTGGTCTACCCATGTGTTGTTTCCTGTTTTCTTTCTTGCAATAGTTATTATATTATATACAATGCTTGAGTCAATTAGCACAGATAGAGATGAACGACAAGTAATCAAAAATGTTTTTTAAGTATTATATTTAAAACTTGAATTGATTTTTATTTTCTATAGAAAATAAACGAACAATGGATTAATGAACATCTCGATTCTCTTGAAGATTCTATGCAAGATCTTGATAGAGCAATTAAATATTTAAATCAAAAACAAGCAGAAGAATTAATATTCACACAACAATCAAAATCATTACTTGAAATTGTTAAAGAAAAACCAATTTCACAATCAATTGAAAATAATACTCAAACAATTTTATTCGAATCTAATTATAATAATAATAATAATAATCAATGTACTTGGCGAACATCTTCTCCCATGAATACCACATTTAATGTAGGATAATTATTCATTTAAAATTCCTATAAAAATTTTTATCAATTTTCTAGACTCAACAATTATATGATAGTCTTCCATTTGATAATCAAAATGGTGGTGTTTGGCTACATGGTTTTGATATTCAATATAATACATCACAATGGACATCAAATAATAAATTAAAAATAATTCTTATGCCTCATTCACATTGTGATCCAGGTTAACTAATAATCATTTCAAAATATAATATGTTCCAATGTTTTTTAAATAACTTTTGATAGAAAAATTATAGAGATCTGCGATTTTCACCATTCAAGAGAGGAGATTCAGAGTCATTGAAATATATCAAAATTTGATTAGTCAGTAATTGACCCATCAAATGAGTTCTTACGAGGGAACCTCTTGAGATGTTCAAAGAGTTTAGGCTTCATCTTTTGGCCATAAGGTGTGGGTATGTGGGGTGTTCAAGAGAGTAGCGACACTCATGCTTACACCCTACATCCACACCCATTCTCGTTTCCTCATACCATATCTTAAAAATTCAATGACTTGAAAAGAAAGACCTTGTAGCCCAAATCCTTTTCAGCTTTTTCATACCTCATCGAAGTCTATTTATGGCCAAAAGATGAAGTCTAAATTCTTTGAACACTTTCGGAGGTTCCCTTGTTAGTGAAATTTATCGAAAACGATATTCTCTTTCGATCTACACAAGGCTCACACTTCTAGCACGTTATGTTCAAGAGTTATAAGACTTTTCCTGAGACCTCCGATTTCAGCCAATTGATCATTGATCACTCGGAAAAGCAGCTAGGCAAGGATAAATCACTATGTTGAGTCGAATAGCGTTATTTGTTTTTACATTCGAAATGATCCGACTCTATTATCTCATTATTCCTAGAATCTCAGAATCAGCCTCTATGTAACGAAGAAGTCGGTATTTCGAAAATATTGAGACAACAATGTCAGATTAGTTCGAATGTAAAATATCATCATTCGACTCAGAAAGGTGGCTTACAGGGATGTCCATGGCAGTGACACAGCAGTGACAAATTTTCAGCCGCGATAGATATCTCTGGTGAATTATCTTTGCCTAGCTACTTTTCCGAATGCTGAGAGGTCAATTAGCTGAAATGGGAAGTCTTAGAAAAAGTCTTTTAACTCTTGAACAAGCCATGCTAGGAACGTCAGCCTTGGGTAGATCGAAAGAAAATATTGTTTTTGAAAATCTTCACTAAGAACTCACCTGATGGGTCAGTTGCTGACTAATCAAATTTTGATGACCTCGAATCTTTTCTCGTGAATGGTAAAAATCGCAGATCTCTATGATATTCCTAACACAAGTTATTCGAAAAAAAATCGTAGGACACATTATATTTTAAAATGAATAGTAAATTTTAAAATCAAATATATTCTATTTGGTTGATTTCATTAGGTTGGCTTAATACGTATGAACAATATTTTGCCTATTCAGCACGACGTATTCTTAATACAATGATAACAATGCTTGATAAAAATTCAAAATATAAATTTATTTGGGCTGAAATGTCTTTTTTAAGTTTATGGTGGGATCAGGCAACATATGATCAACGTCAATTATTAAAAAAACTTCTGGATAATAAACAATTGGAAATTGTTACTGGTGGTTGGGTAAGAAAGTAAAAGAATATTCACCCGAGTAGGATAGGAGATATCATCTAACATCCCAGTAGAATCTTTAAATGAGAGTCTCATGAGAAGACGTTTTCAACTAATCAATCTTTTTCTCATCAAAATCTATTGAATCATAAGTTGTCCACCATGCTGATTCCGAATATGATTATAAAAATTTCTCTTAGGTTTTGTATGAACAAAGTTCTCAATCAGATTAGTTTATTAGCCAATATGTAACTTTTCTAGTATCTCCTATCTTGTGGTTTTGGATATTCGAAAATTTCTCATGTGTAAAAGGAAATTTTGTTTATCTTCAAAAAGGAAATAATAGAAAAGCTAAAACTTGTACATTCAACTAATCTTATTAAGAACTTTATTTGTACCAAGTTTTATGTTGAAACTCGAAAGTTGATTTTTTACGTGGTCTGAGGGAGACGAAAAACTCAGTAAAACTTTGATATCTCGAGAACAAAGATTGGGAAAACCAAGTCATTCTATACTTTTCTATTACTCACCAACACTTATCAGATGAACATCATCTGGGTCAAAAAGCAATTTAGGACCTGGAAAGATTCTCTCGTCAGATTATAGAGCATATCGACCGTTTTATAAGATACAGAATATATCAAAATTATAGATCCTTTCCTGCGCTATATACAAAAAAATTAATATTGTATCTTCAAAAGGCATCTAATTATTTAATTCATATGTTTGTTAGATATATGAATCTATGTAGCACATAGACATGTCTACGTGCTACATAGATTCATATATCTAACGAACATACAAATTAAACAATTAGATTTCTTTTGAAGATACAATATTAATTTTTTTGTACATAGCACAGGAGAGAGATTATAATTTTGAAATATCCTGTAGTAATGTTTTCTGTTGTCGAAAAAAACTGAAAATATTTCCTCGTTAGTTTTAGTGCAATTCATCAACCAAACTAATCCGATATATGTGTCTCTATATTCTGACTTCTTATTTACTCAAATCGTAATGATAAATTTTATTTTATTTATTTTCCTAGGTAATGAATGATGAAGCAAATACACATTATTTTGGTATGCTTGATCAACTTATCGAAGGACATCAATTTATTGAAAATACATTTGGTTAGAAAATTATTTTATTGCATTTCGTTTCAATCTAATTTTTATTCTATTATTTAGGAAATATTACAATACAAAGTAGTTGGGCTAATGATCCATTTGGTTATTCACCAACTATGGCTTATCTATTACAAGGTTCAGATATTCATTATGTGGCTATTCAACGGTAAATTTGAATAAATAATTGAAATAAGATTATTTGATAATTATTTTTAGAGTTCATTATCATATAAAAAAAGCATTAGCAAAAGAGAAACAATTAGAATTTTTTTGGCAACAAACATGGGGTAAATTAATTATTTTATAAATACATTAATAATATAATTCTAATAGATCGTAATATTTCAAAACGAATTTTTACTCATATACTTCCATTTCATGGTTATGATATATCATATTCATGTGGTCCTGATCCAAAAATATGTTGTCAATTTGATTTTAGACGAGGAGCTAAATTATTTGCAGGTTGTCCATGGGGTATAAATCCTGTATCTATCAATGAAAATAATACTCATGAAAGGTAAATCAAGTTGTTTTTTTTATTCGAATTTATTATTAATTTATTGTTTTTTTTAGAGCTGAATTATTATTAGATCAATATCGAAAAAAAGCTCAATTATATCGAACAAATGTTTTACTTATTCCATTAGGTGATGATTTTCGTTTTATATCAATATATGAAGCTAAACTTCAATTTAATAATTATGATAAATTATTTACATATATTAATCAACGAGCAGATTGGAATACTCATGTAAGATTTATTTATTTATTAAAGGAAAATATTAATTTCTATAACAAAACTAAAAACAAATTAGATTCAATATGGTACATTAAATGATTATTTTGAACAAATTCTACAAGAAAAATCTCTCGTAGAATTTCCAAGTTATGCCGGAGATTTTTTTACATATGCTGATCATGATGATCATTATTGGAGTGGTTATTATACATCAAGAGCTTTTTTTAAAAGAATGAATCGAATTGCTGAATCTTATCTTAGGTATGAAAATAAAATTATGATTTCAAAAATCAAGTAGATATTTTATATAGAATGATATTAGTAGAAATCTTTCATTTATTCTTGTTTAAAACATAATCGAAAATGTATTTTCAAAATTTCGTTTGAAAGAAACAATCATTT